TAGTAGTTTTTAGGGTCTCCAGGTGTTCACACCTTTAAAGAATACCAAACATTGTAAGTTATAATCAGAGAGGTACATAGTTGTATAATAGATAGATGTAGTCCGCAAATACTCAGACACAGAATTTAAATCTTGAAGTATCTTCTAAGCTTTTAGACATCATCAAGCAATGGAGAAAAGACCTTAACAATATAATATTGTTCATACGATTCTATTCTATTTTATCAATCTTACTTCGCTCTTAGTAGTCATGAATGAAACGAGTATAATTTGGGTATTCCTAAACAATCTCTATCTACAGAAATGAATCATAGTTGGCCCAGACAACTCTGAAGTCTATCAAATTGTCTCTGCTTAACAGAACAGCAGGAGCTGAGGGAGAAAGAGAGAGAGTTCTGTCCATGTAAGCTGGTATATTAGGGGGTACCCCATTGAGGTACTCAAGATGTAAGCAGCCAGACGATGCAGTAAGGCCAGAGTGGACCCAAGTGGTTCATCTTTACCAAGGCTCTCGACCTCCTGGAGGTGGCAGTCTCTGGCCCTTTCATAGGACCAGCATGTAAGGATAGCGTGGTAGTAGTTTTCCAACTCCATCTCACAAAAAGAGCAGAGAGTAATTGAGTACATCTCCTTTGTTTACTTATTTGTACTCTTCGCTATGCTATTGCCCAGTTGAGTAATCCCTTACACTACTGTTTGTACTAGATTAAAACCTTCGTAGCAACTGCTTGTTTTACTCTATTTGGATTTTATTACTTGTTTTGTTATTTTTATCCTGTCACTTCAAGTCTACTTCTTTAGGACTTTGAATGATTTAACATTCACTACTATATTAGCATTATTGAATGTTCTCCTTGGATACATTACTATTGTTATGTTTTGTAGTTATAAACTTTTGTATTTAAAGAAACTACAATTTCTTGGGAATTTAGTCTCTCGAACTTTACAGGAACGCTCCTCTGAATATATTATAAGTTGAATAGTCACTTTACGTTTCCCTCAGCTCCAGTACTATTAAGGAAGAATTCTATAAGACATTTTCCCTCCTATCCAAATAGTATCCACCAATCTCTTTAAAATTCTTGAAATACTTGGAAGTAGGTTACAGTATTGAAAAATATTTAAGAACTCTAAAATACTAGTGTGAAGTCATGATAAGATCTACTGATAGGAGAGTTGACTGTAGGTAGTACCTATTGGTAGTTAACCCATAATAGAGTCTATCAAGAGAGCGATATGGCCATCATCCAGAATAATATAAAATAGAATAGAACCAGATAGATGTTCAGAGGCTGTAGATGCTTCTAGAAAACTAAGTAAATATGGGTAAAGAGTTTCATAGTTAGTAAAGTATCCACTTGAACATAATAGCTTGCCACTAACATGTCCATGATATGAAAAGTTTTTTCTCCTGTATTTGTATTGGAGATGCAGCAGCTAAAATACTTCAATGAGGTAAATATTAGAGAACTATAGAGTAGTTTAGTTCACTATAAAGGATCTTTAGTCTGACTCAAAGAGGTTGACTAGACAGCCTATAGGAGTTGGATACTTACAAACACAGTGTAACGATGAGAAGTAACTGGAAGTATTTGAAATCTACATAAATATACATACTAGAATCGCTCTTCAATCTCACTTAGGATATATTCATACAAAAGGTAACAAGTCTTATTGTAGGAGTAATATGTATTATTACTTCCTTCTTATTCAATATAGTAATTATTCCATAGTTGTCTTATGTTTTTTTAAAAAAAATACTATTATTTTCTTAAATACTCCAATAACAACTATCATTCACTATACTTGTCGTAAGTTTCTCCTAAGAGTAACATATAAGTTGTGAATATGAAGTAGTATTCATAAAGATATATGATAGGAAATAATTTGGGTAGTTGTATGAAGATCCATCTCAAAGGTCAAACCACTCACCTTATATAGACATTCTCACAATCCACTTACAAATCTAACTGTCATATAGATTACGGCTACATCTTATATAACTACATAGTACTTTGTCCTTATATCCTCTTTCTTAGTCATGCACATAGCACCTATGACCCCTAAACAAGTTATATGTACAAAATACAAGTAAGCCTTACAAGACTAACTTCTATCCAACTAACAATCCCAAAATAACATATTAATTTTGACTTAAAGTCTAAGTCATATACGAAACTCACATGATACCAAAACACGTCATGTGTACAAACAATAATCATAACATCATAAAACTCAACTGAATCATTAATCAAAGCTATAATATATAAAATCCTTTACAAGCCATAATAAGTTTGTAACAATATGCGAGTTCTCCTCTACTCTGACAATCAACTATCTCTCAAGATTGCAACTTAATTGAGTAAAGCTATGGCTTAATAATATTAGGTTTTTCTGTTTTGTTTTTTCAACTCTGCTGTTTATTATCATTATCTTTATTTTCAGAAAGAAAACTTCAGTGCAATCACAATCTTGAAATTCTACTTCATATAGGAAAACTCCATTACAGTAATATAGTTGAATTAGAGTATGATAGGATAGCACTCTAGAATACAAAGAAAGAGTACATTAATATCAGCAGTTCAACAAAATAGAGTGAATACGATGATGAGTACAACACTCAAACTTGAACTTAATTGAAGTACTTTAAATGAATATAGTGATGGAATTGGGCCAAATGTAAAGGCCAGTTAGGAATATTCCAGTACCTGAAAGAGTCCTAAGTACTATATAATATCACATTCTTACTGAGTAATTAGTCAGCCTACTTTACAGTTAGCTATAGCAGCTATAAGATGTAATTGATATTTATAGAAGAACTATATAATATTTATATATATATATAGTAATATCTTACTAGCCTGAATCTTACCAATCTAGATATCTCATTAACATATATAGCTTTCTATAGACTCTGAATTTCATTATCTCCAATTTCTCACTATAGAGGACAGATTTCCCTAATCACTACATTCCAAAAGCAGGAGGTACAACTATAGTATTATGATTGAAAAAGTGCATCCAACTTCTTTGTTTCACTTATTGTAATTATTAGATATTACTTGAATTTCCTAATAATATTATATCCTAGTTTTTTACATAAATACTCAGACCATTTTGAAAGCACACCCAACTTATAATATCCTCTATGTATTACTAATCATAGTATTCCATCAAACTTCTTACTTCCTATTATGTACAGAAATTTCCCTTTCTCTCAGAATAGCAATAACATAATCTACAATTTGATACTCTATAAACTATTATATAATAGTCATAATAATAGAATTATACCCTGTAGGCAGACTGGTAATAAGATAAGTTTTAGTCTCAGTTTGAATAACTTGTTCAAAGTCCTCAACCTCTTATCAGCAAAAAAGTAGTCTAGTAATATATTCAGTGATAGAAAATCAAGTTACTAAATAAAGCTGTTTGAAATAATAAAGCATTACTGTACAACTGGTTTCTAACATGAGAGTACCTAAGTTAGTTTTTCACTCTTGCCACATGAAGTGGAAGTCTCTCATCACATTATGTAAGTTTTAACAGACTTACAATAAGTATTTATTATAGCTACTGTCCTGTCAAACCACCTGTCAAATTCTGTTACTCCAATACTACATTCTTCTGGATGAATCTCATTACCAAGAGCAATACCTAGAGCAAATTCAGTCCATAAAAAGAACTCAATGTTGTATTTCCACCTTGCAGAAGAAGTTTGTAAACAAGTTGTAGTTTTCAAAGCATAATAAATGGGAAGTTTCATATTGAGCGCATGAGAATCCCGGCTCATAACATGATATTCGAAGTCAATCCTTATAATATCTTGAATTGATTTCAAAATAAAACAATAACTATAGGAGATAATATCTATACAAACTTCCCTGTCCGGTGTAACCTTCATGATAACCGAGTGACAACTGGTGATGACTTGCCGTGCCGGTCCCACCCACATCCCACCCCTCCTATAGTACCAACCAGCAACACCGCGTCCCGACCGATTCCCACTCTTCCCTCAGGATCCACCTACCCAGGCGGCCGGGGTACTGCCCCACTATACGCCGCGCACAATCGGCCCCTCCCAATCCACCATCTACGAGTACCACGGAACTAGCTTGGATCAGAGTGGCGTGACCATGGGGACAGTCAGACAGACACATACGGGTTGGCCCAGGATGTTATCCTGTTCTAGATCGTACGACGCAGGATCCTAAATGGTCCTATGTATCTTACATCTTCGGGCATCTTGTGCGGTGGAGTGCGTTGAGATGGTGGTGATAACCAGAAGAGATATTGCTCCCTCCTGCGATGATGTTACTACTGCCTGCTTTCTTTTCATACCTTTTGCCGCTCAAGCACTTACCCCCTCAACGCGCTGCTAGAAAAATAGAGGTGGGGCGGGGCGGCGAGCCAGCGGGCTCTGACCAAAGCCAAGTCCTCAAGTTAGCACCCCACATATCATACTATAAGACTGAATATACCTTGAAAAGTTATTACCATGCACTACCTATCTACATACCCACCCTCCTACCCATCTAGCCAGACTAGAATACTCAAGACTAGACTACCCACAGACACTTCAATGGCCCTCTCCGTACTGGAGGTAACTTGATATCTCGTAGTTAACAAGAAAATTTATCTGGTCCCACGAACGATCTCCTACCAAAGTTTTTTGAGACTATCTATGTAGCTCACCTAAAATCGAGTGCTTATATATTTGGTGTGACTTGACCATTGTCCTGTGGGCTAGTCTAATTTGAAAGACCCCGGTAAACAGTAGGCTGGTGTGCGGGCACAGGTAATCTATAGGAGCTGATTGGATGGATCTGGATTGAGAATAGTGACAATAAGTAAATTCCGCCCTGTACGAGGAGAGGAGAACGATGAGCACCCATTGAGACTATGGATGCGGTGTAATGCGATAGTTTTATGATTCTAATTTAGTACAGCACGAAATTTAATTATATCTTATATGAATCGGCACGAGCACCGCAGTGTGAATGAACAGGCAGTTACATTTTTGGAAAAGCACAGCAAGCACAAGAGAAATTCCAGCCAAGCAACAGACCCAACAAGTCAGACAATCGATCATATACACAAGTTCTCGAATAGCGCAAACCATGTAGAAATAGCTACACAAGAATCGAGCAAAAGGAAAAGAAAAGCCAGGATAAGCAAAAAAGACTTTGAAACAACTTCATCCATAGGACCTAACAGCTGTGCTCCCCATCATCACTTTCACCACTCTCATTCCCACCCTTCTTCGTACTTTTCTTTCCCCGCTTCTTCGGTTTGGCAACAGCCTTAAAAGCCTTCTTCTGTGCTGCAATCCCAGCAGTCCTCCTCTCGCCTGCACCCCTATCCGCCAATTCTTTCGCCTTCGCCAAGAACTCCGGGTCGTCGCCTTCCACTCCAATGAGGGATTCCAGGAGCTTGACTTCCTCTGCCCACGTTTTTTCCTCTTCCATTGGCGTCTCGAGGATTAGCGGGAGACCCTCGAGACGCTCGTCATTCATGATTAAGCGGAAGGGTTCAAGACCAAGGAAGCCGAGGCCTATGTTCTGGTGCAGATCTCGCTTTGAGGCTAGGGGAGCTTTAGAGTCGTTGATGTGGAGAGCTACGAGGTATTTGCGGCCGATTATTCGGTCAAAGTTGGACATCACCTTGTCATAGGACTCTTGGGTGCGGATGTCGTGACCGGCTGCCTGTGGGGAGTACAGAGCGAATGTGTTAGTGATAGATGATTGGTCAATACTCATCTGCAGGTAGACTTACGAATAAATGGCATGTGTCAAGGCAAACACCCACACGATCCTTATCCTTAACCTTCGCAATAATATCTCTTAAATCCTCAAATTTTCCACCAATGACATTCCCAGCTCCGGCCATGTTCTCTAATACTGTGATGCAGTACTTAGTTTCGGAGTGTGCTTTATCGAGCGCCTTTGCAACACGAGTGAGCGATTCCGAGCGCGAGAGTCCAAGCGTTGATCCGGGGCTTAATCCGATAAGTTAGTGAAACCTAAAACATCCGAGAGCGTCCTGAAACCACTGCAGAAGGCTTACTGAAAATTGTACAGACCAATCCCCAGCCTCTCACAACGCTTCAGGTCATCGAGGAAACAATCGTATGCTTTCTTCGCCTTTTCGGCGTCGCCGTTGGCAAGGTTTATCAGGTACGATCCATGAGGGAGAATGTGTCTGAAGATTCCATTAGCGTCAATTATCCCTCAAGCTTGCGCGTCGGGAAAAACCCCACATGGAAATTTTCCTCACGACAGACGCAGCCTCCGCAGGACATTTCGGAATGCAAACGCCGATACGAGAAACGGGAGGGAGGGAGACAAACTTCCTAGGATCAAATCCATTCTCTTCACAACCCGCTCGGAAAGCCTTTGCATCTGCCTCTTTCATATCTGGACTCGTCCACTTTCGCTGACTCTTCAAGAACAGCGCAAACGCGTTCCCTCCTATATTCAAACTGTTCGCGATGGCATGTTGAACACCTGTAGTGACTCGATTAGCACAATGCAAATGCTGTCCCAAGCACGGGTCAAAGAGGAAGAATACATACCCCCAGCCATGCTGACATGAGCCCCAACCATCATCTTTACCCCTGCGGTCCTCGCAGCGGGAATCATAATCTCGTCCTTCTCCCCGCGAGCCTTCTTAATAACTCTGACCGTCTCCTCTTCCTCCTCGGTAACAGCCCCCCTCTTCTTTGATGAGGTAGAAACAGTCTTCGCCGAACTCGCAGACTCAACGATAGCAGTTGTAACCTGACTGGCCGCCGCAGCAAATGTCTGTGTATTGTGCACTGAAACTCCGAGCTCCTCGTCCCCCGATTCCTCCTTTTCATCGAGCCCAGATACTTGCGATGAACTCTCCTCTTTTTGCTTCTTTTTTTTTGCGGCCGCGGCTGCTGCACGGGTGGTTCTTGCCATCTTTGCAAACATTTTAGTAGCCGACTAGACCTTGTAATCTGGTAATAATGACGAAAATGTAGTGCAGGGCGGAGGGGGAAGAGAGTTTTTCGCTTTCTTATCTGATTTTTATTTCTTCTTTCGATTCGGTGATGGGGAGAGGTCAGGGGACTGGTTGACTGGTTGGCCCAGAGCCTTTCTTCTTTTACTTGCCAAAAAGCGGAGGCTGCGGGAACGCGTAAATATGATAGCAAGAGATTGGAACGCGTTCAAGTGGATTATGTAAATCGCGAAGGGATAGGTGTCGAATTTCTAATTTGTGATACCTACCAGACACTCTACCGGTAGGGTATGATACAGTACAGTACTTGTAGAGAGATGCCGTCTAACTCCCGGTCCGATAGAGGATCTTGAAGGATCGAGTGGTTGCTCTCATAATTTATAATACTGTAATACTTATTTATTGTACCATGGTAATGAAATTGTGGCTAGAACATGAGTGCGTGATCGTGCGCATACTGCGGGTAGAAACAATCCCATTGTCAAGAACTGCCTCACCACCCACCAGCAGTATGATAACTCGTACGAGTACGAGTACATTACTGTACCGGTGTCTTATCTAATCCCACCAGAGCTTTCCCTCCCTGCCCAATCCCTTCCCCGCTCCCCCACCATTCCTCGGATGCCGCTAATGCCGTCCCAGGGCGCCAACACCCCGATCAACCGCCCGCCGACTTCTCCACACGCAGACTACCGGCACCTAATTCCCCCATCCAGGCTTAGATAAACCCTCCCACCCTCCTCTTCTTTCCCTCCTTCCTTCCTTCCCTCCTCCAGCTAGACTAGTCCTTTCTCAACTCATCTCCACGACCACCGCACACCCTAATTCACCAAAAAGAAAACACGAAATTTACCACAACCAAAACTCAAAACTCCAAAATGTGCATGCAAGCGACCTGTGCTACCTGCGGTAAGTCTTCTCTCCCGCCCGGTGCTCAGTCAGAATGTGGTGCTGATAGGAACCGAATACGTTAGGTGGCAAAAGCTGGCGTGGATGTGGTCAACATATCCCTCGCGTTCTCGATAGCGTTCCTGTCGAGGAGTGGTGCACTTGCCAGAAGCCGGAGGGGAGCAATTACCCGCCCAAGGCCCAATAAATGTCTTCCCGGGATAGCGGAACAGTTTTTGTCCATGGCTCCGCGAGAAAAGGCAGGAGTGCAGGATCGGTTTTGCCAAGTCGGTGTGTGGTTTCTACGGCACGGCGGGTTCGTGTTTGTTGTCTGTGTGCAATGCGGGTATGAAGTTTATCTATGCTATTGTGGGTTTAATTGAAAGTGAAGAATTGATTTCTCAATTTTCCACCGCCGGCACTTGAACTCTACAGTTGATAACCTCCCAAGCTGCTCTGACATCCCTCCACCCACGTGGATGGATGCTAATTAGTAGGTTTGTCTGAGGAAACAAGCGGTGGTCAGTTCAAATACAGCTATACCCTCCACGACGAAAAGCCACCCGGATCAGTACGGTATGGTTGCCACAGTTCATCCAAGTAAGCCTCTAGAAAGATTCTTTATCCAAGTGAGGGGACCAACAAACGCGTTCGTCATAATCCGCACGCTGTTCCTACTACATCTTTGATAGATCAAGTAGCTTGTGCAAAGGGTGATGGGGGGTGATGTGTCTGTGGCGGTGCACTCTCATACAGAAATTTGCAATACCGGTGTAGAGCAGGGTCAGAATTGATTGGGTATTTTCTGAGTCCGGTGATGTTTTTACCCTCTAAAATTTTCACTTTTATACATGGCTCAGACTACGGAAATTCCTACCTATAAGCCAAGAGAGTTCCTTCTAAGTTAGACAAGCCACAACCACACCCCGACAACAATTGAGATATAAGTTCATGCCTATCTCAATCTAGTTTACCTTCACCTCCCTTACCTCTTCCGTGTCAGTTAATATACTTCATCTTAATTCAAGTCAATTTCCCTCCTTCTATCTTCCAATATTAAGCAGATCACAGATCAATACCGGCTGAGAAAACAAAAACCTGAATTGCCCATAACTTGAAACCCAAGCAAACCACTCCAGTATTCCGTAGCCACTATTCAATTCTCAACCGCCACAATGCGTTCAGGTTTAGTAGGACAATTCACACTTACTTTTTTTAGCTAGTATGATACTATTATAATATTATGTATCCTAAACCAATACCGATAGCTAAAGAGGCTGGAATAAAGAGAGCATAGTTAACGATTGAAAAAGCTCTTCAATATGTTAACTGTTCATTGCACCTGCACGAAAGATGAGGTATAACAGCAGAGCTGTTCGAACCAAACTGATAATCACAATAGATATATGGCAAATTGTATTTACGGATAAGTTGTACATCGGGTTTAACGCTTCCTACCATTAAACCTATTAAAAAGGTTTAGAGGAGGTGATCCCTTCAAGGCAGCTAATATCATATAAAAAAGTATCATGCTGCTACAATTGGACTCATGCTTTACAGTAGAACGAGTCCACTCAGCCCCATACCTGGTAGAATTTATCCCTCTCGAGAGTAAATTAAACGATAGTGACAAGTATTAGCAAGATATTCAACAAGTCGTTAATACATTTAGACGAGAACTGGTAGAGGAAAAGGTTATACTTGATCACAGCGCAAGCCCGGAAGCGAGAAAACAGATTCAAACCGTACCGATAACCAAAATGTAGCAGAATAACTAGCGAATAGCTATAATATGTATTGCCGTAAGGCCAGTGGGGTCTTTAGGGCTAAAGACGTTAAAGCATCACACATATCATCCCATCCCTAGGAGGCATCTATTGGGTTGCCTATCATTTGCAGGTCTTCCAACCTATTTTCCTAACCTTGGGTTACTTACAGATTCCCTTCAACTTCTGCTATTAATAATAGTGATGATTGCTGCGGGGCTAGTAGAAGAAAATGTACCATTACACCACACTGCACAAAAATTGATTTTGGGGATCATGTCAATATGAATATCAAAAACCTTTAAGTGGCCATCGCACACCTCCTCGATCCCAATAAAAATCGAACAAATGCTGGGGACAACGAAAAGGTAATATCAGCAGATAATACTCCAAGGTCTTCCAATCCATGTTAAATTTACTACAAGCCGCAATCTCGACGTACCAGTTTTCCGGTCCAAATCAGGTCTCTGTTTTGAGAGCACAGGGTACCTAACGATTCTACACTACTACCCCCCTCTTATCCTCTATCATCTTGGCCGGCCGTGCTCAGACGCGCCCATATTGGTTGTCTAAAGGATCTGATTGAGTAGCAATGACCTTAAGTTCCGCAGTCAGCTACAGCACTGAGGACCGTGGACGGAACAATTCTGATTGGCAATTTACTATCATATTTCCCGTTTTTTCTTTAGTTCAGGGGGTTCGGGATGAGGGTTGAAAATTTCCCCCAAATATTCCATCGTACTCACTTCCTGCGTCGAGTACCGTAACCTTCTGGGACGAAATCTTTCTTATGGTTCGTGCAACCCAAAACGCGCACCTGGGTACGATACAACTCGTCAATTGATTATATCTCACTATCAAGACCTGTAATTCAAAAAAAAACCACTACGTTATTCTCTTTAGTATTCCCAATACCCTAGTGGTTTTTTTTGAAGCCATATTTTATCTTAGTGGAGGGGTATTATCATTTAAAAATGCTGATTGCTGGTGTACGTCTTGGGCTGCACGAACCATACTTCATCGTAGACTGGATGTTGAGGCCAAAGGAAACAGAAGATCACGTTGCTTACTTAGCACCCGGCCACATGAGCACCGGTACTGTACTCGAGTACTTGGTACAGAGTTGGCGGTAGACCGAGCTTATATCTCTTTCGAGCAACGGAGCTTTTCCTATCGCGATTACCACTGCGCAGAGGTACCGGCACTGGTATTCAACAGCTTAAACTACTCGAGTAGCTACTACTAGGAGGATGTTAGCAACAGAGTGGATACTTGCCAAGTCGTGAAGTAACCGGATCCCTTGGCGCCAATAACTTAGACCATAGCCACCTTCACCAATTAACAAACACCACAATGTCCAGATTCTTTATGGATTGGAAAGTGCAAACGGGGAATATCTAAATCCACACCTCACCAAGACACACGGGTCACAGGCTATTTTTCGAATCCTCCTAATCCCGCTTACAAGACAAGACAAAACAAGACAAGGCGGTTAGTGGCAACTACGTGATTGCGTATTTCGGTAGTCCGAAATCGTACTATACTAGATTATATATAACCCCTCTCCCACCCCTCCCTCGTACAGTAATTACACCCTTACCATAAACCTTGAACGAACGAGAAAATGAGGGGGAAAAATGTAACAGGAGCATGTTAATACCCCCCAAGCAAGTCCACAAACGGCGCAACAGTCTCCACAGCCCTCTCGACAACCGTCTTAACTCTCATTTTCAAACTCTCGTTCCGGCACTCGACATCAAGATTCTCGAACCAGACGTTTGCGACGATATTATCGATTTTGATCTGAACCCCCGGTACCACATCTCTCATTTCCTGTACTACATCCATTTCCCCGTCCGCGGCTCCAGCATCGACAGCAGTAGTAGTGGCGGTGGCAGTCTCCGCGATCGATTTGGGTGGCAGGGTGGTGGAGGAAGCGGGTTGCGACCCGGGTGGGAGAGGGGTAACGCAGTCGCCGAACTGAGCTTCTAGGAATGTTAGGACTTGTTCTATGCGGTCGGAATGGCGAATATGTGCGTGCGGGGAGGTTTCAGGGATCTCGGAGAGGGTGGAGGAGTGAGTATGGATGTGTGATGTTGAGGAGTCTATCGTTATTTCCATTAGTCAATAGATATTGTTAAAGTGTGGGAATGGTGGGAGGGAACAAACGTCGAACAGCCGCAGGACTAGTTTCTAATCCCATCAATACCGCAGCCGTAGCATCGGCGATTCCATCGTTCAGCATATTCCCAACCCACTCCAACTCCACATATCCCTTCCTACAGCGAACAGTAACAGTGTCCATAATCTTGAATGTATTCCCACTCTTGCGCTTGACACCTTCTTCCTCACCATCGCTCATTTCGTTACCCCCGTCGGCGCCACCCATCTCTTCCTCCTCTGACGACTCCCCATCGCCATCGGGAATATCCACAACCGCACCAAACATGTTGTCCAGACTCCAGCGCACGAGGCCAACCCCCGCCGCGCGGATCGGGATCTTCTGACGGCAGCTAACGACGGTAGTCGTTAGTCCCGCGTACTCGCGAAGGTCGTCGGGTGTCATAAGGGAGAGTTTGAAGTCGTTTTGTACCAGTACTCCGGTGAGCAGCTGCTCCTTCAGTGCAAGTGTCTGAGTCCCCGGAGGTTTTTGCGCAAGTTTGCCGACGACCTAGTGAGTGAGCGAGTGTGTTTGTGTGGTTAGGTGAAGCAGGAAAGGTGGAGAAGGAAGGTACCTTTGCAATTTTATCTGCTTTAAATGGGATGCGCAACTCTTCGCAATTTTTGGGGTTGTATATCTTGACCTTATCTTTATCTCTTCGGTCGCTGTTTTTGCTAAGTAGGGCAGACTTGAGTCGCCCCATATTGTTCTGCTCCCCATGCACCAAGATGACAACCTTTGCCCCGACCTCCTCTATGAAGCCCGAGTTCTGAGCGTAGTCTACGTGCGCCGCGAAGGATAATTCTTCGACGCTGCACCGGCGGGGAACCATTACCTGCCCATCGACGCCGCGGCTGGCAGTGGACCCACTACGGTTGGCAGTCACGACGGCGGGGATCTCGGTAGGCTCATTCATGATCTGCTTAGCCATTGTGCCCTCTACGCTGTAGCCAGTTATTACCAGGCCATTGCGTGGGTCTGGGCACCAGCGTTCTAGAAGCTCACGAGAGACACCGTTCTGGAGGGTGATGGCACGTTAGCGGGGTTCATGGAATGTATTGATGTAGGCAGAAGCAAATAGTGGTGATGAGGACAATAAAATGGGAAGCACTATATTTATTATAAAACACGATGTAATATGACCCCTGGTAGACCGATGAAAAATTTCCAGTACAAAAGGAGTATAATCTACGAGATATCCAAGGGAATGTATTCCTGCCCCCCCAGATAAATTGCTTCCTAAGTATATAATGTAGATAACGCGGCCGAAGAGCCTTGGGTAGGGCTGAAAAGCCAGGTGAAAAAGCTTGACATGGAAAGAGTTTTACCTGCAGCATACCCGGGCTAGCCAACATAACGCAGCCACCAACATCCTCGAACCGATCAATAGTCTTTAGTGACCTAACCCATCTGAAGTCCCAAGGATTTCTCCCCTCGCCCTCGAACATGGCGCGCTTTATCTTATCGTTCATGGTATTTATATATGTCCTATAAACATCCATACACTTTCTAGCCAGGTTCGATGCGTAGTATATGGGGTAGCTCTGGTACGCTGGATGTTTCTCCCAATATTCATCTAAAATTAGGAGTAGCTCTTGTGCTCTACCCAGGGCAAACACTGGCATTAATACTCTGCCGCCGCGGTTGAGAATTTCAGTAGTCATTTTCATTAGTCGTGCTTCCTTTTCCAGACGCGGCATATGAGTCGCTGTGCCGTAGGTGGATTCACAAATTAGTAGATCAGGCTTTTGATGAGGGACTTCGGCAGACACTAAATGTCGGTCATCCTCACGGGAGTAATCGCCCGTGAACAGAATCTTCAAACCAGCTATCTCAATGAAGAACATAGCACCCCCAAGCACATGTCCCGCATGATACGGGGTAATTGAAATCCCGGCATGCGTAAGTGTGGTATGGTAGTCAATAGCTTCAATACGGGAATAACTCGAGAGGTGATCCGATTCAGTGTAGAGATTGTCCGGAGAATTATGCACGTTCCTTTCCGCCACAATTAACATCAAGCATCCATTCTATTTGTATATTGGGAAAAGCTCACCCGACTCGTACACTATCCTGAATTAACCACTTGTAGATCGCCTTTGTCGGATGCGTCATGAAGACTCTACCCCTAAAATTCGTCTTCGTCATAACATACGGCAGACTTGCCGCATGGTCCAAATGAAAGTGACTAATCAACAAAACATCCACGGTGCTGAGGTCGAATTGGTCGTAAAACGGCAGTCCGGCTAACCCCTCGTAGGCAGGATGGACCCCCGCATCGAGCATAACGGTTTTTCCCTTGTACTTCAAAATGTGGCATGAACGCCCGACCTCATTTCCACCACCAAGGCAAAGGAAGGTAAGATGATCAGATTCATCCTATCCAGTATTCCAGAGTTAGCAGCAGGGATTGCAATAAGGGGAATGGAGGAGGTGGAGGTGTACAATCAACTCTTCCTCAACGGTTGGCTCCAGCTTTCTCTTTGCGGACATTTTGGGTTAATGGGGTGTTGAGAAAGTTGTAGTCAATGTGTGGAAGCAGGAGTCGAGAAAAGGAATTGTGCTCGCGGCGGCGCGATGGTTGGATAACGTGGTGATGCGCGTCAAGTTTTCCTGGATACCAAGTCGGGCCCCCATGGGTTACCCGGCGATATCCCTTCTCGGCTCCCGGCTCAACCATAAGGCTATCGTATTTTATTTTCTGTAAAGTCCGTAGATTTTTTAAATACCGGGAAACCCATGGCAAGGCCCGACCAGAAGGCAAAGTCCCGGTACCAGTACCGGTACGGTAGCATCGTGGCCTAACGTGTCGAGTCCGAGGTCGTTCAAGTTGGGCAAGACATAGTATTTTTTGGTTTTTTATTTATTTTAGGGGGGTTGAATCACACGTTTTGCTACGCTTTCCGCCCCGTTTCCAGAGTAGGAAATCAAATAATGAAGTTTTGGATTGTGAAACCACGATATCTTGTACGAGATCCAACTGCCCGAGGTCCCACGGCAGTGTACAGTACAGCACCACTCTCCATAAGTTTCTGTCCTACTTTCTTTATATTACGCTTCACATACTCCCACTAGATCCAGGTTCCCATGCTCCTTCGACCACAATGGGTGAAATAGTACAGTACAAGCACGAGTAAAACTCTGTCTTGAACCCAGACATGTAATATGCTTCTAGATGATGCTTTACTGCAATTTTGTATTGATAAATAATATTATCACTTGCCGTGTTTATATCTAAAGTCGCCATTTTTATAACCATTCAACACCATGTCTATCATACCATATTTTGTTGTATTCTGACTCTGTTATACTAGAACTTGACATAAAAATTAAAATTCTGAGTTTCTTAATCATACTTTGTTTTGGTACAAGAATACTATACGAGTACAAGTAGACCATGAATTCATAGAACGGAGTAGGCATGGTCATCCTCCTTTGCTGAGGAGATTTTGGAACACTGGAAAAGCATGCATTCCGACCCCAATGAGCGATGAGAAAGGAGAAACTGTTGGCTAAGATCATCATATGTTTTTGTTCTTCAGTTCTAGCTTTGTCAAGTTCAATAGCTCTGGTTTAGATGAGGTTATGGCACTGTACTAGTACGAGCACACATCTTGCAAGCACTGTACCACTTCAATCGAACCTCTGATCTCTGCCGCGTACCATGAATTCATGATCTACCCTTGGTTTTCTTGGTCATGCTTCTTCTGGAGGCCGTTGGTCAATAACTTACTGTATATGAAAAACTTAATTTAGGAAATGGTTAACTACTTAATAAGCGACTTCGAATGACAAGAGTCGGTATGGTACCATACCGATGGGGGCAGGATGCGGCTCAAAAATAAAGTTGCAAGCATTTTGCTCGAGTGAAGGGCGCAGCAAGGAGATTAGGAGAACGCCAAGACCTATGATGGCACAGTTTTGGGAAGCAGGAAAGCTTGCACGGGCTAGCTGGGCCGCGGCGAGCGGGCGGACGAACGTTCTGATGGCACTGGGTCTTAACGTGCTGTAGTTCATCCTCTCTGGCCATCAGATTTGTGTGGGATCGAATGTGAAGGGAGGGTAGAGTACTGCGCTGCTCACAGTACATTCCCGCACTGCGCATCTTTATTGCTCTGCATAAAGAACTGACTGTACTGCCGGTATCATACTGGCACTTGTTCTCTTTCCTAGGTTGCCGCAGTTTGCTCCCGCTGTTGTGTGAAGGTCGACGGGTAACTTAACCTCCTTGCGCCTCCCCACAAATAGGCAACCAGTCCGACGTCAACATTTTGTCAACCCCGACCGTTAAAACTCCCTCCTCCGCCTCTACACACTCTCCTTATCCCCTCCGCTCATCTACCTCCCCTTCTTTCTTTTTCCCTTCTCGCTCCCTTTCACACCCTTCTTTCCTGTCCTATTCTTTCCCTAGGTCTTTGGCAACCTTGTCTGCCTGTGACTAGGTAATCCCAACTTGCCCCATTGGCAGGTTATGAACGTGACCTACTCCACGATGGCTATGGAGGATGGTGGAAACGACGAAAGCGGGAGATGTGAATTATTAGGGTCATTTGGTTAGCTATTTCCTCTCTTCCAAGATTCCTTCCGCGCGCACTTCTGGGGGCGTTTAGGGGGGAATGACCAGTGATCACGACATGACTAACATGCTCTTCGTAGCCCTCTTTGTTCAAGCAGCACTAGGTGCCTTGGCCCTGCTATCGCTTGTGTGGAAAAGAGCTCGGGAGTCTCCCCAACGGCCGATGCTTATTTGGTATGTCTATTTCGGGAGCATCATTATGAGCTACGGGCGGATTGCTCATGATGACTTTAGGTGGTTCGACGTTTCGAAACAGGTTGTTGGATCCGTGCTAGTTCATGCGGCCAATATCCTTTTGTCTATGCTATCATCTGGGACCTTCAGCACCGAGCCCACCCCAAAATCGCTGGGTGCAGCTACCCCTACTTTTGAACGGTTACTTCGACGTCAAGTAGAAGGCGACGAGCCCGACTTCTATCATCCGAACCCATGCAGCTTTTACCTACTAAACCTTGCTATTGATGTTTGACCACTCTAGCCCTTTTTGAATATCTCGCGCTAACCTCATTTACTAGACAACCATTGGAATCGCGATCTTGATATATCTTCTACGTCTCCTGCACGCCTTATTCCTTCTGTCACCAATTCCCTTTTTCCGAACGGGAATCTCTTCTGGAGACTACGGCGAGCCTCCGAAATGGTCGTACTGGGGAAAACAGTCTATAATATACTTTATGGGCCTGATGGGAATGAAGCTTGTGGTCTGGTTGATATTTGCACTATGCCCATGGCTAGGCCGTCTTGGAGACTGGATGCTGGCTTGGACTGAGGGGGACAAGAGACTCCAGGTTTTTTTTGTTATGTTTGTGAGTGGTCGTTCAGCCGTTATGAATTTTGAGATTGTAGTGGTTCCTAGCTACTCGTTCTAACACCTTTCATTGCTAGTTCTTTCCATTGGTCATGAATGCGATGCAATACTACATTATCGATTCATACATCAAGAACAGGAATCCTTCGCACACTGCACTACAAGACTCTCCTCCTGTTTCGGGACGACGGGTATCTTCGACATCAATGCGGTTCTCATTCGATAGTTCCAATGATGTGTTTTCCTCAGACGAGGATGAAGCCTCTGGTTCGAGACACCTTCTGCAGCCCTCTTCCAATAGGACTCGCCGAGGTCACCGCAAGGTGAACAAATCACCCACTCCGGTGGTAGAAGAATACAATCCGGACACGGATGGCTCCACCCTTCAAGATGGCCCGGATGATATACCACACTCCGAATCCCCATCCCCAACCTCGTTCCAGGCGCTGAGAAATGGAAGAAAGGGCCTCGGCGGAAAAGGGGTTGGCGCGGAGAGCAGCAAAAGCATGAATAGTTCGATGATGCTATTACCCGGCAGCAGAGGTCCAAGCACCCCTGGCTATGGCGAGGAGGAGAGTGCAGGGAGTGCAGGGAGAGGTTTCGGAGGAAGAAGAGGGAGCGATCTAGATGATGATTCAACATTAATCGAGCCGGAGGACGACCTGGGAAGGGGCAGCAGGTAAAGTAACTGACGGGAGTCGCCTTGGCTAGGAACTTAGATTATGAACTGTTATTTCTCTTCTCATTGATATAAACCAACGGTGAGGCATCGCTAGGAAATGTCAGGGGTTTTCGAGCAGACCTATGAGCTTTTGAAGCCCCATTTTTCTGTTCGCTCGCTCTGAGCTTTACCCTTTCATTTCCCGCCAGACATGACCATTTCCTTACCAACCGGGAGACAAACGAACATACCATCTCCCGAGGCGCACATTTCCCTTGTTTCTTGGCAGTATATGTATTTGAGTTTTCAGCCAGTCCTTGCATTCGAGTGTTTATTATATTTATCAGCAAACGGAGTTGGGGCGATTGGTAGAGCTTTTTTTCCGTTTTTTTTTTTTTATACTTTCTGTGTCTTTTTAGTTTTTAGTTTTTGTGAATGCGATTTGCTTTGCGGAATAGTGGACTGTATTATTCTATTGAGTCGGGGGCAGAAGTGGGATGGAGAATAAATACATGGGAGGTTTCCGGATAATAGGAAAAGTGTTTCCCTCTAAGGCGAGGACTAGGTTGAAGTGGTAGTATTATTAACTTATAGTGGTAAATGGAATCGAGAAGGTTGTATGATCAACAAAATTGCCAGGAAGAGCGGGAAGAACTGTAGCTTGTGCTGGAGTAGGCTTACGTGAAGATCATAGGTCTGGACTAGGTTAACTGAAGGCACGGACTGAGACCTTTTGAGTAGTATCGTGACCACCTGATGGGCAAATGGCCCGAAGGTCCTTCTCTCTTGTCCTGCGCCAAGCAAAAGCTACCGAAACCATCTCACAATAATGATAAGTATTATTTCATGTATGATATGAAATCTAAGCATGATATAGTAGTTTCAAGTGCTTCTCATTCCACATCTTCCAACACGCGTCCTTTGGGCAAAGTGCGATCTCCCCATAACATGTCACTCGCACCCAGCCTAGACTAACTAGGTGTAAGACAGGTATGATACCTTTTTATTTTCTAAATGGTTGGACCAGAAAGGTATGCAATGGTGCCCAAACTCACGGATACCACGTCAAGCGGCCGGTATCCTACGAGTGCACAGTGGGAGCTGGGGGGTTCCGGCGGGTGTGGGGGGGATTTCTGAGGAAGGTGGAAATATCGGAAGGCTGATTTGCTATCATGCCGTACCCCCGGGGTTCACACTCCCATCCCCCCGCTGCATAGTAGGACCTCCTCCTTCTCTTCGTGATGTGGCCAGGAATGCCTACTATATACGTCGCGGAATAGATAGGTTTTGCATCCCACAATCATGATATAATCACTGCTCGTGCGAGGATCCACAATCACTGCCTTTTTTCGTTTTTTTGCCCTTCCAAATTTGGTGTGTGCCTCCTTTTCCTTTCCCCTTTTTAAGGCTCCCCTTTCTCAAATCATATGCTTCAACCAAAAATCGCAAACGAGAGATTTCCGGTCGAGTGATCAGATGTGAAGTGCCGGGTTGTGCTGTGCTGCGCGCCCTCCCAGCGCTCAACACTTCCATGGTCGCGAAAGTGAATTGGAGGTATCGGGATGTCGATGGGACCTGTGGAGGTATGTATGTACCTGCACAGATGCTGGGATATAGAGCAGAGTGGTGGTGGAGAATCTTTGAGGGCTTGAGTGTGGCCGCGGATCATCCGGGGCGCTGCAACTATACTTATTGCTCTACGGCCTCCGTGTTCATGGGGCGGGTTCGATTCACTTCGTGCGAGGGGTGCATTTCTGATCTTTTATCTCGGCACATCATCTTCCACGGTGCCACGAGGATTGGTTGTCAGGGATCCGGTGCTAATTATCCGGTACTGTACAATCCGAGCATGACCCTAGAGCTCACGACTTCTAGCTATTGCGGTAATACCATCAGCCATCGTGAGAAAAGGGACAATCCCACACCTTCCTTTCGCTGCAAATATCTTGGAAAAAGCATAGATGGACGTGAAGGGAGGTGGACTTTCCTATCGCTTTCTTCTCTCCTTATTGTGTCATGGGCACCTATGCTACTCAGGACCACCCCAGACCACCACTCCGCGGACACATCACACAACACTTAGAAAGCATAAAGGACAAAAGCCCCACATACCCAAACAGCCAATCCAAACAGTCGAACCACGGGAACGGGGGTGGGGAAAAGTGACCTCTCGCCGGGTGGGCAAGGGGAGAGTGAGGTGGTATCAATGTGTTATAGCGAGGGGGAAGCGAGCGGCCAGACGCATCCAGAATTTCTGTGTAAGAGATTGGTTGATTGAGACTGATGGTGAGTTGGGGTAATTAGATGACGGGAGTGGGAGGCATGAATGGTATGGGTGGTGAGGGTGGATAAACAGTCTATCGTTTATTAGCAGTATCAGAATATGGCTGCTAGTATTGGTGTTCTCGTTCGGATCACGTCCTACACAATCTCAGCTGGTGTTCCGCTATCGAGTGACACTTCATGATTCAATACAGCTCCAGTAAGCAAAGATTTAATCTTGATCGGTTATCAATTTAATTTAACTTAATTTAACTTAAGTGATATACCTGGAAGGGGAGGTGGAAGAACTGAAACTGAAAAGAAAGAGAATGTCCATGGTAAGCCCTGCACGCCATAGGGTAAATCAGGCACTGAGAAATTCCATGCCACCGGATGAAACGAAGGAAAAAAAAGAGAAATTGGTCTAGGGATCTTCTTTTTAAAAAGGAAGCAGGCTGCATCGGGCTCCACCCGTCTAGTGTATCGGTGATAAAGTGAAGGAGAGAGGGAGCGGAGTTGCCGAACGCGCAAACCCAGCGACAAACCATTAACGTAAACAATTTTTTAAAAACTTTTTTCATCCTCCTCTATCCCATCTCTACTCTAGAGACTGACGTGCAAGTTTACTCTACCTTCCTCACAACCACACTTGCCGCCTTCCTCAACCGATTCATAACCGCCAACCCCTCAAGCACCTCCTCGATCCCCTCAACGTGGATAACATCAACCCCCTCATCATCCAACTCCCTTAGCGCAGCAAACAGCCTGCGACCAATCTCCTCCCCGCCCTTGCCCAGATCCCTCTCGGTAACAGTAAGTCCACTAATGCCCTTATTTCCACAAAACTCGCTCTTAACATTGTTGCTCTCGTATTTCAAGCGGCCCAGCGTGAGCTCTCCAATGCCATCTTCCCAAGTGCGCGTTCGGAGAATACCAACTTTGCCGTTAAGGTTCTTTGCGGAGAGGATGGGGGAGCGCACTAGGTCCTTTCCACAAAGGGGGGGTGTGCCGAATTCGTACAGGACCACGCTGGCGCGAGGGGAATAGTGCTTGTATTTCATCCCGGGGGCTTCGGGGGTTATGGAGGGGTCGGCAGCGTCTTCGAGGGATGCTTTCGAGATTATCGTCCTCGCCCAGATCCCGCCCAGCTCGCGGATCGCTTCGACACTTATGCCTCCTGGGCGAAGGACTACGGGTGGGTCGCGGAGGCCGTCTACTACCGTTGATTCCAAACCTACGGAGCAAGGTCCTCCGTCGATGATTAATGGGATGCGGTTCCAGAGATCGGTGAGTACGTGTGACGCACTCGTCGGGGACGGGTTTCCCGAGGCATTGGCAGAAGGAGCGGCAAGGGGGAGGGAAGAGAGGTAACAGAGTGCCCGAGCGATGGGGTGGGATGGCAGACGAGCAGCGAATTTCGGTTGCCCGGCCGTGACGGATGCGGAAAGTGGGCTGTTGATAGTGGGCAAGGGGAGGAGGATAGTCAACGGTCCTGGCCAGAACTTGGATATTAAAGCATTGTAGACTTCCGGGATTTCGCCTCCACAGGTATTCGTTGCGTGTCCGTTCGTAGTTGAGGTCGGGTTTGTAGGAGCAAGTATTCCCCGTAATTGCCTTAACGAAGAAACATGCACTATCAAAGGATTATCCGACGGCCGCTGCTTCGCGGTATATATACTATTCACCCCCACGGTGCTTGTTGCATCCGCACCCAGACCATAGACCGTTTCCGTCGGGAAAGCAACGCACTTACCCTGGCGCAAAAGATCGGCTGCATCCTTCAGTGCCTCTAACGTGGCCGGGTCATCAATCTCTAGCGTGGGCGAGTCATCGGGGTGTGACCCCGGCTCCGACGACGGGCGGAAGGTTATCTTGGAGGCATCGACTCTTGAGGTCACTGTGCGGGAGGATTGCCGTGAGAGGTATGGTGATGGTGAAGGGGGGGGTGGTTGCGGCGATGGGTGACTTTGAGGGATGACGGAGCTTAAGGCTGTAGTCATGTTGATTCTTGGCAACAATTGTGGTCGAAGTCGAGCACAAAACGTCCGCAGCAGAAGTGATCCAAGGAAGCTTGTGGTCGCCGTCGTGATGATTGACTTGATCCTTAAGGTTGGGAGGGGATGGAAAGATGTTTTTCGGGGCTAACTTGAGTGCTTATAAGCTTCTCCTCCGCGGTAGGAAGATAAGTACGAGTACTGGGTAGTGCGGGAGTGATGACAGTGAAGTTGCTTTCAAACAGGCAGAGTGCGGGAAATGCTCAATGCGGTATCATACTCACAGCCTCAGAAAGGCGAAAACAACACCTAGCCCTAACTTATGCAACCCAAAATCCCTAGAGCACACAAAGGGTCCCGCTGAATAGAGGGTACTGGGACTCCAACAATAGCGAGAAGCGAAAGAACAAGTATAAAGTATATTGTGCCAGCACTTTTCCTGCTACTAATCACCAATAATGGAGTTGTAAGGTGTCATTGCCTTCTCGAGTCAGGTTCCCTGACCGTCCTTGTAGATTGAAACGAGGGCTTAGCTACAAGCACCATGCCGTGGCCCGATAATTTGCAGCAAAGGCAAATTGACTTAACATTGGATTTACACAGATGCATCTTCCCCGAGGTATGTGCTACAGAACGGCACATTTTGTGGGGGTCTGGACCACTGGACCAGTCCATTACCCGGCCTACATGCTCGCCTGCGCTGACTGAAGGCGGAGGAAGGCGAGCGCAGAGGCCACGCTGCGGGAGACCACGAGGCTCAAGGACAAAAGAGGTTTTTACACCCCTATCCACTGCTAAAGTTAAGCCAGAAACAACCCTTATTGTTGGGATAGATGTTAAAATAAGGTGAGGCGCGGTCAAATACTTGTAATACCGTGACGTTTGTGAAATGAACCGGGCTTGCATGGAAGTGCATTAGGGCGCATGGAGGTGCATATTCCCGGGGAGGCATACTCCAGTAGAATACTAGTAGTGCATCAGTGTCTCAAATAATATTTAAAGAGATATTATTTCCGGATATATTAGACTATGGGGATGAAGTTGAGGGGGGAAGGCAATTAAACTTAAAGATATAATAATATCCTATATCAGCTTCAGTACAGGCCTAGAGATAGTCTAGCATTAGGTGAACTTAATAGTTTAAGAAAAATAACATAAAGTGATAGTCAATAATATTTAATCTTGTTAAACTTCAAAGAGCTTTATAAGTACAATATTAAAATTGTTGAATAAAGGTCCTAGATGATTGTTGGATACACTAGAGACTAGAGGTACACAGACTTCCTTGAATGTTTAATAAAGACCTATATTTACTGTATTTTGAGAAATTGATAATGGTTGACTATCTATATGGCACAACTAATAATGATATACAACTACTACTTCCTTACACTATGCTAACATAAGTAATAATCTACATATTTGGATCCCACTCCCCCTTATAGTGCTTATAGTGCCAAGTATAGAAGCTTAAATTGAAACTGATAGTAAGGTATTATCATGAACATGGCTTGGCATAGAAAAGATTTTCACATGACTTATGATTATGAGTCATAGGTATGTTATTGTTTCATGCATATGACCACTTTGGTCATATGACTTGTTTAGGTTATAATTTATTATATTTCGTACAAGACTTGATTATGAGTCATGGGATGTGTGCCTGGCAAGTATGCCTTACAAATATACCTTGCAGGTATGCCTTGTGCATATGATTTATGTTTTACATATGATCTTATTATGAGGTCATGGGTTTTGCGCATGTGACAACTTTAGGTCATTTGACTAGTTTATTGTATTATGATTGGTTTATGAGTTGTTCACATGACCTTGCTATGAGGTCATGGGTTTTGTACATGTGATCACTTTAATCATATGATTAGTTTATTATGATTTGGTTTCATGTGTGACCACTTTGGATCACATAACTTGGGATGGGAAGAGTACTATATACGGAGGCCAGTATGGCTGAGGAGATAGGTTCTTCATACTTTGTTCTAAGTACTTTCCTCATTCTTGCTTTCACTCTGCCTTGATGGTGAGCATCTGCACCCATGATGGTCCTTTTTGCCTGGCAGTTATCTGAGTTCATCCAGTATTTAGGCATTAGGATTGTCATATGGTTGAGGACTTATCTACTTATTTGTATATTATTTCGTCGCTTGCTGGTTATCTCACGATGCTGGTACTTCAAGCTATTCATTACGGTCACTTACGAGCCCCTTTCAGTAAAACTTCTTCAGCATCCTGTCTATCATCTACTTGCAGATTTCATGTTCAATTGTGGGGATTAAACATCATGTTTGGGGGGATCACCCATGTTGTTCTTTGGGCCAGCTCATATTTGTTAGGTTTTAATGGAGTCCTTAGTTCTCACAATACAAAACACCCTTGGGATAGACTAATGACCTTCCTAAGTTTCAACATGTTGTACCAGCTGCATTATTCCTCAAGTAGCAGGACGGTTTGCACCCGGCTCCTCCTCATTATATTTTTATTTCTACAGTCAGAATCCTACAATGTTGTTTATTGCTATTCCCTAGGAGTTTCTGTCCTTGCTGATTTATAGTAGTTCAGTCAGGTGTCTCATCCTCACTTTGATGGGGATGGTTTTGACTCTGAAAAATCTTTTCCCCTAGTGTGGTTTTTTATTACTGCCTAGAGTAGTGTGTGATGATTAGCTACCAGATACTCATATTGTTTGTATGTATGGGTGGTTCAATTGTGGATTGTAGTTGGCGGCTTCACACATTGCAAGTGGGGCCTACCTTCTGTTTGTCTACTTCTGTTCATTTGCCCTCCTCCTTCCTGTTAAGTCAGTTGGAGGTGCCTGTTGCTCATTGCTTAGTCTGTTCCTGTTGCTGGACCTGTGGGGCTGGCTACATCTGGCTCTGCTGACTTTTTCCCAGCTTAGTTGAACTTTGGTTCAGCTAGGTCGGTTGATGTGACTGGTGTCGGTGTCTTTAGGTGTTGGTACTGCCTCTCTTGTGGCTTCCAGCTGTGGTTAGTGGGCCTCCTCAGCTGTATGGTGTTGGAGTTGGGGCTCTGTTGGTGTGACCAAAACCAATGGCTGTCTGGTAGGGTCAGGTATGTCTGAGGGACTGAGGGGGCTGTATGGGTCCTGTGGAGTCTGATGTGTAGGGCTTAGGGGGGGTTGATTGAGGAGGGGGGAGGCATCTGTGAGTACCAGTTAGGCCTGAGTCAGGTTGGACGAGGTCTAATTAAGTGTTTCTGGCCAGTTGGGACTGTTAAAGTGAAGCTACTAAGTGCTATAATGCTTCCTGACTGTTAGGAATACTGGGATCCGATATCCAGAAGTCACTCTAAGTAGGGTAACCTTATCCAGAATTGGAATCTCTGGTCTCTAACACCCCCCTCTGGCCCCCTTACAGGGCCCACATGTCATTATACATATCAATCTCAGTTGCATCCTGTGACTATAATACCACAGAATTAAAAGTGTCAGAATAACACTGTATACATCACTGCTGTCTGTCTGACCAGATCCCGTTTACAGGATATATAAGAGGAGACCTCTGGCTAGGTCTGAGAAGTGAAATAGAGTAAATATGCTAACTACACAGAACATTACTAGTCTTCAAAGATATGATACCTTTAGAATAGGCTGTAGGTAACGGGACATTTCTGTATAAAGAGATAGTATTGAATGGTAAAGGATCTCAATAAGAGACTAATATATTCACACCCACCCTACAATATCTAGAAGAGTCTAGAACTCCGAGAAATACTACTATAGAAATTATTAGACTCTATGAAGTATTATAACTAGGGTTTGGAACATATTGTAGTTACGAAGACAACTTCTTATACTACAACGGTGATCAAAATCCTGTTACCTAAAAGCAACCAAGAGTTGCCAACTAAGGGAATAATTATCAACCAGATAGAATAGCTTTCTGCGAATTAGTAGGAAGCCTTCCGGAAGACATTTATTGGTTGGGTAAGGAGTTATGGAGGTTTAAAGTCAGACGATCAAGAAAGGTTGCGATTATGACTACCTTCACAGATACAACCTGTAACCGGTACGGGTACTTGGTTGTTGGTTTTGTTTTATGTTTTGTTTTAAGTATCGCTTTGATACTTGGTTTGTTTTAAGTATCGTTTGATACTTGGTTTTGTTTTGTTTTAAGTATCGCTTTGATACTTGGTTTGTTTTAAGTATCGTCTGATACTTGGTTTTGTTTTATGTTTTGTTTTAAGTATCGCTTTGATACTTGGTTTGTTTTAAGTATCGTTTGATACTTGGTTTTGTTTTATGTTTTGTTTTAAGTATCGCTTTGATACTTGGTTTGTTTTAAGTATCGTCTGATACTTGGTTTTGTTTTATGTTTTGTTTCAAGTGTCGCTTTGACACTTAAAGAGTTTTACCAAAGTGTATCGATTGATACCTTTGATTAGTTTCGTTCATGTTAAGACATT